ACCTTCGGATCCCATTTCCACCACCATTTTTCGGAAGACCCGTTGGAAAATTAACGTTTTTAGGCGAGTGCGACTGTTCGTATTCCGGGCTGTCCGTTGGTCGTTTGCGCCCATTCTGCACATCATATCGCTGTCGGTTACTTTCTCTCCGCCATGATCAGCTTCGTTTCCACCGTTTCAGCCTCCGTCATCACCACCATGAGCGGTTGAGTTCCCGGTTGTCTGTTACGGCATATGCAAGATCGAGATTGACTCCACAACTTTACTCATTAGCTCTCGAACATTTGGTAGTATTGTGTTTCGAATTATATTTGTTTTCGTTTCATGTTTGATTTTGATACTTTAATATGATTTGAGCATAATTTGTGATGAATATTGTTGTCCATTGTGATTTAACGTTTTCATAGAACTTGCTGAATGATAAACGTTGGTTTGAAATAATTGAATGATGAATATTGCTTTTCATTATTTCGCATCGATTGTAATTGAGTTGTGTTCGGATTTAATTTCATTTCTACTGTTGTTGCGTTAATTGTGAAGTTGGTTGATTGGAAGATACGTGTTGACAAATTGTATTTGTTAATCGCATACCAACTAGTGGTATTGTTGTGTAGCGTTTATCGGCGTTCAATAATAGTTTTTAACCAATTGAACTTGAGTGATAGGGTGAGACAGGATAGATTATATCTAGAGTGCCGGGAAACCATTTTATTGATTTACCTTGCCTTGTACGTTTAGGGGATCGTAGAGGGTAGAGGAGAATTGTGTGAGTCGGTTCGTGTCGAACCAAAACCGTAACGGCAACATTTTTATTATAAAGTCTTCATTTGTTTTAATTTCACGCTTTTATTATTTGCATTTAGTTTGTTTAGTTTAATTAATCACATTACCAATTTCATTTTCGCTACTCAAAATACATTAGGCTGTTAGTTTTACTCTCTGTAGATTCGACCTTGCTTACTGTTAACTACGGTATTTAGGTTTAATTTTGTGACTGTGACGACCGGTTTGACAACCCTCATCAGGCACAAGTGGGCGACGATTTAAAGTGGTGACGAAACCCCTCATAGGGTGATATCAAAAGGTATTGGGAACTGGATATTCCATTATTTAGCCCGATGCTTTCCTATTTGATCCTATCGAGTACCGTAGGGCATTTTAAAAAATAACTCTATGGAGGTATCAGGTGGTTTAGGGTATATCCAATTTGGCCATGTGCGGCCATTTCAGTGACTAGCAAAGGGTGGCGAATTGGCGTGGCTCTGCTTAGGCCAAGCTAGGCCACAATGGCATTAGCCTTGGCTCTTGGTCACCTATTTTTTTTTTTTTTTTTTTTTTTTTTTTCTATTTTTAGTTATTTAGTTATTATGAACATAATAAATTAAATTTTAAATTAATATAATTTTAATACGAATTATTTTTCTAATTACACACATTTCAAAACTATATGAAATTATCAAATATTATAAACTTGATAAATGTCATTTTTACCCCTTCCAAATGTTAAATCTAACTCATTTTAATTGTATTTGTCCTTTTTATGTTATTTGAAACTTTTGTCTCTTTTTTATTCCAAATTCAGAAAACATTGTCCCTAAATTGACAATATCTCATTAATAAACAATGTAATTGTACATGTTTTTATTGAAGTTTTATGAGAGTATTTGTTTTTGTATGTGCATTTATATAAGTTTATTGACAATTTATGCTTTTGATTAGATCATGTTTACAATGCTTTCCAATGGTATGATTCATTATAATTACATGTATCAATTCTTTCAAATTGGAAACTTAGAAAGTGTGTAATTATCATGACTTATTGGTTTACAATGTTATAGTTCACGATCATTATAGGGAAAGATACATTCTGAATACAAGCTCCAAAGAATTAATCACACCTCTTTTGTATGGTTAAAGTGTAAGTAATCGATACATTATAAGATACAAAGCATACTCATTTAAGTGTTAAGTCATCTATATATTGCAATTTTCAAGGAAAAATCTTCCATGTGTATTGTACTGAACCATCAAGTTTAGACTCCCAATGTTTTTCGTATTTCACAAGAAACCGAATAACATCCATTGTTTCTGCAAAGTTAATATGAGAGGTTAATATATGCACAAGTATAAACAAATTTCAGAATTCAAAACACAAAATAAAACAAAGTCTCAATTCAACCTAACAATGCCTAATAGAGCCTGAGACATACCAATCTGGCATTATTCCAAAACTCATAATACCCGACATAGCCCAATCCACTTTTTCTGGTGTTTCTACTTCAAATGTGTCCTATACCTTATTATCCAACGCTTATTAGGTTGTTGAAATTGTATGCCCGATACTACCTGATTATAAGGTATTAGGCATTAGTTATCTTCTACCCCTAGCATAAACCTAGCTGAAACTATACCAAACTCACAACCTCTAGTCTTTTATATACATTCTTACTTAAAAATTAACATAACAAACATACATATTAGGGCTGACCCAAGGGATGGGTAGCTACCTAGGCCCCCCCAAAAATGCCCAATTTTTTTATAATTTTTTTTGAATATATTACAAAAATAAAAATAGTGTATGATTTCTTATCCAGGTCGGCCCAAGGCTCCCCCCCAAAAAAACTAAAAAGACCCAAATTTATTATAAACTTTTTACATATATTCCCACCCAAAGTTTGACGAAATAGCAAGTTTGTACCTCTAATTTCATGTATTCCAATTTACACCCCTAAATTAACATATTGAAATTTTTTTTTAACAATGAAAGGCTAAAATGGTCATTTACATGTCTTAAATTACTTACCCCCAATGAAATCCCAAAATTCGATATTCACATAAATCATCTCCACCCCTATTCTACCGCCAACCATTTAGAGCTGATTCCAGTCGATTTTTTTCACCAAAATCAATCGGAATCATCATTTTCTCATTTCCCAAGTGTTTTCCTAACCTTGATAGCCCTCGATTTGGCCGATTTTTGACGAATCTCGCAACCCAGCTCCATCGCACGCGACAACCATTTATGGCCTTTTCGACATGTACCTGACGTCGTTGGCCTTCCCCGACACCACCATCTTCCTCTTCTTAGCCTTCTCACCAAAAACCCCTATCATACCTCATCCGTTTACTCCGCCAATCGCCGACCACCGATACCTTTTGGGCTGTGACTTCTCAAGCCTTTTTTTGGTCAATCCTGGCATTGGAATCACTCATTTCATCATCCATCGCTTCTCCAACATCTGCTCTCCAAAACCCCCTACCAATCTGACCCTGTTAGCCCGTCGGTCACCATCCACATCTCCTAGTGATTTTACATCTCAAAAGGCAAGAAAAATAAATTTGAAATATTTTTTTTTTTTAATATATGCTTATATATTAGAAGACTCCAAAGTAACTATTGCCTACGATCACAAATGTTCTTGAGATAGCCTTGATACATATTATCCAGCCCAAGCTTATATAAAATATTTAAGATCAAATCTATAAGAAATTTTCAATTATATACTTATATACCAAATAGTTTAAATCATAAATAACATACCTATTCGGTTGTGGCTTCTAATGGATGAAAAACTCAACAAATGAGTCAAATAATTTTTTCTTCTCAAAAAAATAAGCTTCAATAATGTTGGATTGTGTGAGAACTTCTTGATTTGGAGAAGAAAGAGTGTAAGGCTAAGTGTTAATTGAAGAAGAAATGGGCAATTTCGTCCAAATTGAGACAAAATATGTGGAAGGATATTTGTTGAGAGACTGTTTTTTCTTGGGGTATTTTTCAATTTGGTCCCTCAATTATAGGGGTATGCAAAGAACTGGTTAGAATCGGAACCGATAGGAACCAAAACTAGAATCTGTAACCAGGGTATAATTTTTTTTTTAATAAATAATAGGGACTGTTTTGATATTTTACAATTTAATTGAAATTTAATTTAGGTTATGTAAAGTGTAAATGTGAATAAGGTTTAAGAATTGGGGGAAATCTCTAGTTGCGGCAAAGGTATTTCCGAAATGAGTGGTGGCAAATTGTGGAGAGAGGGGGAAGAAGAAGGAGGTGAAGAAGAAGAAGTTGTGGAGCAGGGTGTCGACGAAAAAGAAGTTGTGGAGATGGGTGGTGGTGAAGAAGACGATGAAGAAGTTGTGGAGAGGGGTGGAGGCGAAGAAGATGACGAAGAAGTTATGGAGAAGGGTGGCTGCGAAGAAGAAGATTGGGTTGTGAGAGTAAGAGCAAAGTGGGTTTGTGGAGACTAAAGATTGTGGGTTGTGGAGATTGTGGAGAGGGGTAGCGGCAAAGAAGAAGAAGAAGATTGGGTTGTGAGAGGGAGAGCGAAGTGTGTTTATGGAGATTGTAGAGAGAGGGGTGGCAGCTAGGGTTTATGATGAAAGGAGAGCCGTTGGATTTCAAGATGTTGGGGTGTATTTGTAATATTTATAAACTATTGGGGGTGTAAAGAAAGGGTTTATTTGTTATTTTTTAAAAAGTTGGGGGTACTTTAAATTGTCCTAACCTATGTTTCAAGTTTCTAAGAATTGGAACCGTGGTTCCAAATCTAAAAAAATGGCCGGTTCCCATTTCGGTTTTAATTCCTTTGATTTTGCGTGGATACCTTGACCTGACCACCTCACTAAATTAAGGACATTTAATATAAGAGTGATGTTATGAGTACTGATGGATGAGTACTAATATGTGTACTAACTAAAGCATAGTATTCGTACTATGCATATAATACAGATACTATGTTTTAGTTAGTACACATATTAGTACTCATCCATTAGTACCCAAAGAATTATTCTTAATATAATTTCTTCTAATAAAAACTAATAAATTAATGGTGACGGTCATTACGCGGTCTTGTAATTCTAGTCAGCACTCCCTCCCAAAAGAAAATATACAAATACACCTTCAGGAAACAAATGCACTCATAAACACTCTCCGCTCTGAACACTGATCGGACTCGTCTCGCTTAGAGCTCCACGTACAAGTACCCACAGAATGTTACAAATTGAAATTGCAAATCGATTTATAATTAAATTCATTCATAAATTAAATCTTTTTTAAAACCCTAAAGCTATTATATCGCAGCAACAATGCCGCAAGTGAGGATTATAGCGAAAAATTTTATGGACATGGTAGCCTCTCTGACCGCCAGGGACCTCGAAAAGCTCTACGACAATCCCTTCATTTGCGAAGCCATTCTCAGGTTTACTTGCTTTTATTCTTTTCTAATTTTTATATTTTTATTATTCTTGATTTTCAGTTCTGTTTATTATATTTAGATTTTAAAGATTTATTTGTGGGGGCACCAGCTTGTTGAATTGAAATTGATAAGAAAATAAGAGAAATGAAATAATCGAGAGTGTAGCGTTTTAGTGTAGTAAGTATTTAATGATGATTTTTGTTTTTGATGATATGATTAATGTTGTTTGTTGTTTGTTTTGGTACTCAGGTCACTGCCCCCTCTCGCAAAGAAGTATGTATTAGAAATGTTGTATATGGATTCTGCGTTACCCGCGAAGTCGGTGGAGGAATGGGTACTGTCAGATGGGTTCACTAAGCACAGAGTTTCCATTGATCGGTTGGTTCAGTTGAGAATATTTACAGAGGAAAAGTATGCACCTTCACTGATGTGTTTAGAACTCTTCTGTGAAACTGGATAGCTAGAAATTGAGAGTAAAGTTGAAATTTTTGAGCTATTTTTAAGCATGTTGCTCATGAACTATAACTTTTGGTCGAATCAAAGAGAGTATGCATGAAATGTGTGAGGTTCAACTTAGTCTGATTGAATTTTCATTTCCTTTTGAATTTTCAGCATGAGTTGTTTTATTAGGTTTGTGAAATAGAAAGCTGTGCTAAGGTGTGGGTTTTACCTTGTGGACCATTTCTCACATATATGCTGTTGCTTGAAAAGCAGGCCACTTTTGTCTTTGCTATAAACTTTTGGTTGGGATTATTTCCCTTTTCATTTTTCCTGATAAGTTGATCATGGCCGTAAAAGCAAATTGCTATCACATATAAGTTGCATTATTTGGCAACTTACTTTGAAATACTAAGTTTAGCAGTTTTATCTGTTGTTATCCTATATAGTACTTTATGTTTGGAAAAAAATCTGTTTTTAATGGCTTTGAAACTAACCCTATATGGTTTGCCATCTGCTGAAGTTCTTAAAATTTTATTGGCAGGAAGAAGGAAACCAGTTACAAATTAAATCCAACTTTCCAGGCTAACCTTCAAAAGCATTTGATATATGGGTGAGTTTAGAATTCTAGCCGACTTCTTGGATGTACTTCTCAGTTCTCACCCTCTGCCTGTTGTTTTGGTTGGGAGGTTTATAGTGTCAGTAGTGCCTGGTGATCTGGATAAATCTTCCCTTCTTCTTGTATTCTTTAGGGTCAAGCAACGGAGATTTTTCAGGATTTTAATTTATTGGTTGTACTGCCCTCCTATTGACAAAAATATGCAATTTATTATAATGAACTTGAAGATTCCACTTAATTAGTCGACCTAGGATGTGCTTTTCTACTTTTTCACTTGCACCACATCTTTTATTACTTCCATCGTTGATTTATGACATGAGATTGATTTGGCTATCAATATTACTATGCCTTCTTTTTATAAGCAATGAATTAGATGATCTTATTACTTTATCAATGAAATTAATGAATCTAAACTTGCAGTGGAGCTTTGCCAAGGGAACCAATGCCTTCAAATGTTACTGTGAGGCTCCCAAGCTTGGAGGAACTTGAGGCCTATGCCCTTGGACAGTGGGAGGTGTGAACTTAATATATGTTCACTGAATGCATGTTCAATAATACTTTTATAACAGTCATTGCACCTTTAATGATATGTAATGGCATATTTAGCTTTTGGAATTGGCTATTACATGGTTCATTTAAATTTATCTGCTCTTATATCTTGCTATGGTGTTAAATCAGTGTTTCTTGCTGCAACTTATTAGTTCCTCACAAGCTGAAAAGGCAACAAATTTCAGCTCTTCCATGATGAAGGTTTTTCAGCGAGGACTTTTAACTCAAAGGTCATATTTCTTGCCAAATTTTAGTCCCTGGTTTCTTTCTGCAATTAATTATTAAGGATCTTGATTCTCTCATGTGGTATTGTGTTGTATATGTGCTTTGATTATAGGGATAAAGAATCCCCAAGATTAACCGAGAGCGGTTTTCAATTTTTGGTATGTATGTAGAACGTAAGATGTTTGAAATTCTTATGGTGTGCGGCTGATAGTTATTTTCTATATGTATAAATCTACAGCTGATGGATACCAATGCGCAGCTCTGGTACATTGTTAGAGAATATATCACCAATTCTCAGGTATGATCTCCTGAGATTCTTTAAGGTGGTTCTGTCAGCATTGAACTTCTATGAGTCCTTGCTATTAATATTACAGTATGACTGGTGTATCCTTTTTAGTAAAAAACTTAAGTTATCATTTATAGAGATCGAAGGCAATCGCAAAGAACTGACTAAATGCCAAGGGTGTGTTAACTATACTTTTCATTTTCAATTTTTTCCTTTTTTTTTCCCTTGAAAATGTTGGTACTCAGTCACTTGACCAATTTCATTTTTAGGATGGTAAACAGAAAATAAAATTTAAAAAAAAAAAAAAAAAGCATGCACACAATTACATTTATAACTAAAAACTAAAAAAAGACACAAAATGTCAAAACCACACAAAATGAAAAATATGTTTGGAAAAATTGATGCAATCTCAAATTTTGAAAATAGAGAACTCAAAACTTATTATTTTTATTTTGAACTCATTTTTCAAAACAAAAGCACAAAGAACTATAAAGACAGCTACCTAAATTTCTTTCTGATTTCTGATTGTTCATTTTAGAACTTTGGTATTAATATCATTAACATGGTTATATGTTTAGTTTTAGTAGTATGTTTCTTCTTTTTTTTTCTGTTTTTCAGTATATTAAAGGTCTGCATTCCTTGGTTAGATAGACTGATCATTTCTAGAAAGAAAAAAATTAAGAAATTGTTTATTTTGTACTTTTTTTGATGTATTACCAGAGATGACGGTGCACAGGTACTTAGATTATTTTTTAAGATGACGTGACATTAGGTTTGTTTTTTATGGGATAAGATATTCGTGTTCTAGTCAGACTTTCTTATTTTTGTGCAGGATCGAGGTGTCAGTCAAGCAGATTTAATTTCATTTCTTCTAGAGCTTAGTTTTCATGTTGCTGGTGAGGTAGTGCATTTAACTTGTTTATTTGTACTTTGCGATTATTGAGATCTATTAGCACAAGGCATTCCTTTCATACATCATTGCTGTAAATAATGTCTTTTGTTTGATTGTTCCATTCCATGTGCTGCTTCTCTTTTCCAGTGCTGCTCTTTTCTCTACTATATTTTTGAGGATCTTAAAGTTTTTTTCCCAGGAATTCTCTAAGTAATTTACAAGCTCACTGTAACACTGTGTGGTTTCTTATGTTTTAGGCATATAATATAAATACGCTGAGTGATCCACAAAGGAATATGATCAAGGACTTTGCTGACTTGGGATTGGTCAAACTTCAGCAGGTTGTGCTACTCTCTGCTAGAAAATGCTGATTCTCTTAGTTAATTATTAATATATATTATATGAATTTCCAATCTGATTTACGCATACATCTTCAGGGCAGGAAAGACAGTTGGTTTATACCTACTAAATTAGCTACCAATCTTTCAGTGAGCTTAACAGAGTCATCATCACGGAAAGAGGTATACTGGTTGTGAGATGATCACCTAATCTGGCTTGAAAAATTAAATGAATATGTAAAAGTAAATATAATTTCAATTGCTCTTCAATGTGCACTAGGTAGTGATGGTGATTGTTTAGATTTGTGTCGAATGTGTCTGATTAGAACCATTATTTGCCATGTTGAGCCAAGCTGACTGCTAAGCTTGATCTTACCTAACTTCTGCGAATAAATATATGTAATTGTACACTTTCAGCACTTCCCTTCTGTTTGCTGTGCCTTTCTACATGTTCTTAGTGGCATTGTCTAGCTATGCCTTGAAGAATTGCCTTCTTAGCACATACATGCATGGAAGCACCACTAAAGGCACATGACTTTTTGGATTGTGTCTTGAAGTATGTTGTCTGCATGTTGCTGGAATTTTGGTTTCACATTGATTTTAAAATATTAAAAATTATTTGCTTGTAATTGTTGAGGGTAGTTTTATAACAAGATGGGACAGAAGAACTAAGTAATTGATGCCTTCTATTTATGACATGACATGAATGCATGTCAACATAATGGATGTCTTGTTCTTCATGGCTGAATTATTCTGCAGCACAAAACTTTTAGACCTTCAACTTTGTGACCTATTATGAATTATAATGCCCTTTTTGAACTTATTCTTTATGTTCTCATTCTTTTTTCCCTCTCCATAAGTGTAACGTGCACATTAAAAATTGGTTTCAGTTTAATATGTATTTATTTTATTTTTCCTTTTCTTCAGGGATTTGTTGTTGTAGAAACAAACTTCAGGATGTATGCTTACTCAACATCTAAGTTACACTGTGAAATTTTGCGCCTTTTCTCAAGGTAGGACTACCTCACTTGATAAATTTCTCTAGTCTTTCCTGAAGTTATGCGATTCTTACTTGATAATTTTTTTTTTAATCTTCTTTGTTTTACTTATAGTTATTTTCCCCATTAAGTATCAAATAGTAGTCCATGAAAGTATTTACAGTTTTTAACTGAATATCACTGTTCATTCATGATTATTGTTTTTGTTTTATTGTGATTGAAACATTAGTACATACACATACAAATGTGGAGACATGGGATAATTTGGAGTTGAAAGTAAACTACCCTTCCATAAGACTCTTGAAGTTTATCATGGCCATCAGAAGGCATTCATTTTTGAAGCTGTTTTCAGACATACACTTAATACTTGATGAAAAACAGAAATGATTCTTTTTTTTGTTCCATTTTAAGTAAATGATGTATTTGTTCCTTTTTGTTAGCAAAAATAGTGATTCATTTTCCACTCTTTATCAACTATTTGAATTTCTCATATTGATTTGCTCATATTTGTTTCTATTCTGTATGATCTGTTTATTTAGCTGCCCAGACTGGGACAATAAATGGTGCTTATATTTGATATTACACGTAACATTGTGGTAATACATGCAGGATAGAGTATCAACTTCCAAACCTTATAGTTGGAGCAATAACAAAGGAAAGTTTATATAATGCTTTCGAGAATGGCATCACGGCAGAGCAAGTGAGCATTGATATACAGCTGATTAAGTGATTTGTTCTCTGTTTAACATCCAACTGAGTAATTTTCATTATGTCTCATTCCTTGCCTAATTAGTCAAAGCCAACTTACTAGCTTCTGCCATGATAATTTTGGCTATAGAATTGCTTATTATCTATCTTTTAGTTGATAATTTAATTATTTTCATAGTCATGTATTTTTTGATAATTGTGGGAAGCTATTTAGCCTCATCTAACTCCTGGCAATTTTCATTTGCAGATAATTTCTTTTCTTCAGCAGAATGCACATCCTCGGGTTGCTGAGAGAATTCCATCAGTACCCGAGAATGTTTGCGATCAGGTAATAATTCTTCCCAACACTAAGATATTCTCATCTCGAAATATTGTGGCTGTGATTTATGTTAAAATCATATGAATATGTGTTTCCTGACCTTCCATTATAATTGAAGTCAGCTGTGGTCTTCATCGTCTCATTTCTTAATGTGATAAAAATCCTACATGTAAAACGTGATTATTCATTTTTCTATTGTTTAAATTGCACTCTCATTTGGCAGATGAGATTGTGGGAATCAGATCTGAATAGGGTAGAGATGACTCTCGCTTATTTCTATGATGAATTTCCTTCAAGGGTAATCTCAAGCATCTTAGCTCTCGATTGATTTCTGTCACCTCTTTTCATATTTTAGTTATTGTATTTGAGAGATATATGCTTAATCTGGCAGGACATCTTTGAAGCTGCTTGTGAATATGCACGAGAGCGTGGTAGTTTGCTATGGGAGGATTCAAAGAGAATGCGTCTATCAATCAAGGCTGAGATTCACATGAATATGCGAGAGTTCCTTCGGGCTCAAAACAATTAGAAAAGATTTATTCGTGTCCTGACAATGCAAAACTCGGTGAAGAAAGGGAGGTAACAAAATTCAGAGTTTTTCTTGCTGGCGTGATCTTTTGTTCGTAGATTATAGGCGAACTGTCAAAGGTATGCTTTCAGAATTGTTGAAAAGAATACAGGAAAAAGGTCAAAAGACTCGATTCTTCACTGCAATTAGACAGGTGACATATCTTCTTTGTGAGGGGATGTAGAAACTCGATTCAAGAGTGAAATAAGAAATATTAAACCATCCACACGGATAGAAAATGTAGAAATAGAAAGAACGGAGGAAGATAAATCTACAGTCGGTGTAAAATCATGAAGCAGAAGCACCGGAAAAGAAAGGTGGAAATTGATTTTGAAAGCATTTATAGCTGAAGTTATTGTTAAAATTTTGTACCAAATTGTTTTGTAGTCTATATGTTTTTCCCCTGTTTATTGATGAGTTTAAGCATTTCCTACTTTTTTGACTTAAAAATGAGACACAAATTTAATGATTCCAAAGTCTTTTCAGCTTAAAAGCTCTTTGGTAGAATCTTCATTAAATTGAAATTGATGGCTAATTTAACCGAGTTGCTTACACTTGCATATAAGTGAATTTGATACTCCCTCAATTTACAATTTTGTTAGTACATTTTCAGGATGAACAAAAATTGAAGAGTTAGGACACGTCCAGAAAATTTAAACATCTATATTTGACGACTACGTGGATGTCTGTTTTCTAACAGGCGAACTTTCATTGTTCTTCCAGGTTCAAGTTCTATGTTTTTTAAGTTGTTCAATTTAGTCCTTCTCGAGTGTTTTGAGAATGTAAAGAAGCAAAAAGGGAGGTGCTTCGTGGCCTATTGGGCTACCATGTCCCAACATCCAATCTTATAAAAGATGGGATTCTAGGTATGGCAAAGAGGCTGTTTAGATCGGGGGTATAAAAGATAACGGGATAATTTTTGTTTATTTTGTAAGATTTCGGTGTTTGGTTTGCAAGTAATAAAATATTACGGTAATTTTTTATTGTAAATAGTGTTTACTGTTAGTAATGTGAGAGGTAATTTTATTATCTTGTTAGGGAGTGTTATTAAAATATTACCGGGGTAGTATGATTATTCTATCTATTTTTCTCTTAATTAAAAACCATTTCGGACATAATTGCTCTCAAATATCTACCAAATAACAATTATCCAACTCTCCAACATTTGAGAAATTAGCTAAAACACTCTAGCCATAAAAAAATTTACAAAATACTCCCAACCACTTAAGACCATCGTCGGTCGTGACTCATCACCGTCGGTTGTTGATGTCAGTCGTCGTAATAGTGCACGACCGGTGGGATCTGGCCGGTTGTGCGCCGTTAGGCCTTTTCTGACCAGATTTGGCGTTTCTATGACTGTTTCATGGCTAAAGATGTGGCCGTGAAATGGCCATAGATTTGTGATCCATGACCATTTTCGGCTTTGCTGGTGCATGGCCGGCCATACATGGCCAGTCGTGCGCCATTATGTCGACTGTCGACGACGGTTAGCAGTGGTGGCTGGTTGCTGGCAGTGGCTTGGGGTAGGTGGGGGTGATTTTGCTACAAATTAAAGTTTTATATGACTATGGTGTTTTAGCAAAATTTCAAATGTAGGGGCTTAAAAGAAATGATTCAAAAAATAATAATAAAAAATACTGTTATATTAATATTTAAAAAGGAGGGCAATTTAAAAATCTATATAACATACCCACTGATTTATTCTCTCAACCAAACATATTATTTACCAATTTGAATCTACCAAACACATTTTCTAAACATTTCGAGTAATCTTCAAGATGATTTTTTTTCCTGTTAATATAATATACCCTTCTTAAAAAGGTATTTGAGATTACCTACCTCTTAGGACAGAGTAATTACTTGGAATCTCAAGTGAAAAAAAAAAAAAATTTAATAATTGACAAGGGCGGGTGTTTGGGATTACCTAATGCCTTAGGTCTAGGTAATTACTTGGAGTCCCGAGGATATTCTCTGGGGACAGATATAATGGTCCCCAAACCTGGCCAAAAAATTACCTTGATAATATTATATATTAAATAAAAAATATATAAATAAAAAAAAGAATTCATAAAATACTATATATATACAGTAAAACCTCTCTATAGTGATACTCTATATAAGAATAAATTTTATATAGTCATAAAAAATTATATTCCTAATTTGGGATAGTTATAAATAAAAATAAATTCTTTATTGTAATAAGTTATAATTTTTCTAATTCATGTCTTAAGAAAAGTTGCTTCCACATAGTAATAATTATCTGTATATTGCAAAAAAAATATGGTATGCTACATTAAAGGTTTAAGATGAAATAAAATATTTATCTGAAGTTGTTTGAAACAATAATTTATGCTTTAGAGTTGTTATTACATCTTTTAACTTGCGGGTACATTACCTAGCATGAACATTTTCTTGTTAAAGCTAAAATATTTCTAACTTCTCAAGCATGTTTAGAGTTTCTTGACATGAAATTTTTTGTATTTCTGTATTATTATCCTCATAATTATTTCATTTCTCTTCTTGTTTAATTATAGAAATGATTTCTTCTTTTGTTAAAGCATACATGACTTGTTACTTATTTGAATGATTAAGGAAGCCGTTAATATTCATTCGATTAGTATAGTAAAGTTATCGAATCTGATCGCTCAATTTTACGACGACTCTTTGATTCTTCTCATCCACTTCATTTGTAACTTGCAATACATCGACATTGGGGATTTTAATTTTGTAATGCTTAAAACAATTGACAATTGTCTATGGCTTCACATCAGTTGTCATGCAACAACTGCATTTACAATTCCATCAAGGACAATTATCTTTGTTGGTTTCAAAATACGATCTTTTATCCATTTCAAAAGTAGACAACTGAAGCGCTGAATTAAAACCATAATATTATTAAAACATGAATTGAAATCCTAATATTGTACTACTAAAACATGATTTTTGAAATAAGAAATTTTTTTAACTACACCTTTATTAAGTTATAACCTCCTTATAGTAATAAAATTAGTTAATCCCACCATTTTGACTATAGAGGGGTCCTTACAGGCAAGTATATTAGATTTAGAAACTAACTTGATGGGTCCTTACAGGCAAGTTCAAGAGGGGTCCATTGAATAATCAGTAGTAAATTGATCATAACTTACTCAATAAAAATCCAATTGATGAGAGGTTTAAATCTTTAGAAACTAAACAGACAGGGTTTTAATTTGATATATTGTATGCTTAATTTGGATAACTTTAGCCCTACTGCCAAACCATTCCTTTTATCATCACACACATTTTGGTTTCCACTAAACAGTTGATAGTAAATTGACTATAACTTGCTCAATAAAAATCCAATTGATGAGAGGTTTGAATCTTTAGAACTAGACAGACAAGGCTTTAATTTGATATATTATACACTTAATTTGGACAATTGTAGCCCCACTGCTGAACCATTCTTTTTATTATCACACACATTTCGGTTTCCTCTGTTTCTCGATTTCCATTGAACAGTCAGTAGTAAATTAGCCATAACTTGCTCAATAAATATCCAATTGATGAGTGATTTGAATATTTGAAAACTAGAAAGATAGGGCTTTAATTTGATATACAATGAATTTGGATAACTATAGACCTGTTACCGAACTATTCATTTTATCATCACACATATAAAACAAATTCAATTTTAGTGATGACAAAGGAAAACAAATATTGATATGTAGTTTTAATTGTATTTGTTCTATCTCTTTTTATTGATTTTTGGATTGATTTTGTTATTTGATTTTTAAGTTTTGTGGGTTTTATAATTATTGTCTTTCTTTAGGATGCTATCATCAAATGTTTTTTTTGCTATATGTGGTGGTCAATTCTAATTGTAGGAAATGGATTTGTGTCACATGACTTTTATCTTCATGGCTTCTTCAATGTTTCAATTAAGTTGTCTTTAGATTATACTGTTGGAGTTGTTGCTTTCTATGTGAGTTCTCTTCTCAACATTCTTAACTTTTTTTTTATTTCTAAAATAATAATAATAAAAATAATTCATTTTCTCTTCCCAACAATCAAAATTAGTTTTTTCATTTAACTCTGCAAGTCTCTTGCTTAAAAGTTCACATTTTTCAGTGAGGTTTCTTTTTCTCTGATTAATTTATAAACTTATCAATAATACCTAATGGGTTATCCTGCAATTTTTTTTGCTTTGCTTGACAAAGTTTTAAACTTTAGTTGTAGATATCAAATGGTGACATATTTGAGAAGAACCATGATGATATAGACTTTGAGTTAAATTTGTGGATAATTTATTTATTGATTTTTTAATTATTAATTCAATATAAAATGAACTTCAATGCAGAAAATACATATTTAAAACACAAAAAAACCAATAATAATGTAAAAAAATATATAATAAACATACATGTGCAACGCGCGGGCTTTTCATCTAGTTAGTTGTATACTCTCCAAGAATACAAAATTCTTATTCTTGTCTAAATACTTGGTTCAATAATGTCCCAAATCTATTATTGTCTGTCAACATTTCATCTAATAAAAGTGGGTAATCATAAGTCAAGCCATGATGAAGGATTTTTTTTTTTTTTTTTTTTTTTTTTTTTTTTTGCGATCGAGGTGTTCGGACCAGTTTACATGCACCTCAAGTAATCCGAATTCTTACAGTTAACGGTCAGATAAACTCCAGTGACCATTCCTATTAACAATCGAGGTTAATCGAACTCAAGATCTCTAAATAATACTCCAAGAGTCCCTATTCAACTACTCGACATCCAAAAGTGGTTTTCTTGACAATTTCTCAATATAAATATTTCTAATCAAAAGCACAAAGTGATGGTGTGGTCTCATCCCTAGTGGAGCTATTTCCGGAAGAAAACTTCCTTTAAATTTCATAGTTGAATATGAGTTATTTATAGTCAAATTATAAAGTATTTTCTAGATCGCCATTCTTCGTGGAATTAACGGGAGAAGAAACAAATTTGAAATTTCACAAAACTTTAGTAGATTTTTCGGGTGGTGCTTTTTGATCTAAAAATCTGCTTGAGTTTTCAAAAGGTTATATATTAATAATAATTAGTCAATATTTTGTTCTACAATAACTTATTTTAATAATATTAGGATACTCTCCCTAGGCCTGCAATCGAACCGAACATGAACGAACGGGCCCGTTCGAAAATCGTTCGATAAGCATGTTCGATTGTTCGTGTTCGTGTTCGTGTTTGTGTTCGTGTTCGTGTTCGTGTTCGAACGAACACAGATTGTGTGTTCGTGTTCGTCGTTAACAAAAAGCTCGTTCGTGTTCGTTCGCAACTCGTTCGTGTTCGTTCGACTAACTCGTTCGACTAACTTGTTCGTTCGACTAACTCGTTCGATAATTTGTAATACTTGTTCGATACTTGTTCGATATTTGTAAAACCTGTTCGACTAACTCGTTCGATAATTTGTAAATACCTAATATTTTAAATTTTTACATATATATTTTGTATCAACACCCTAAATTTATAGTGGAATAAAGTCTATTGTAATATATGATCAATACATATGTTGATTAATTTGTTATATATATATATATATGTATCACACACCCATAAATTTTAGTGAATGATAGCCTATATAATATATATCACATATGTGTGATTAATTTTGTTATATATAATGTGTATTGTGTATATACAAATTATTATCATACATATATTAATCATAGGTTAAATATGTTATGTATTACCAAAATTATAGGTTATCATATATTTTATATCATTACTAAATTATCCAATATTTTAAATGTTTACATATATATTTTGTATCACACCCATAATTTATAGTGGAATGAAAGTCTATTGTAATATATGATCAATACATACGTGTGATTAATTTGTTATACATATACATATATATATATTGTACAACACCCATAAATCCATAGTGAAATGATAGCCTATTATAATATATGATCAATACATATGTGTGATTAATTGTTTTATATAATGTGTATTGTGTATATACAAAATTATACATACATTATTAATCATAGTTAAATATGTTATGAATTACCAAATTATAGGTTATCATATATTTATTATCATTACATAATTATCATAAATATTTTAAATGTTTACATATATATTTGTATCAACACCCATAAATTTAGAGTAAAATAAAATATATTGTAATAGATGATCAATACATATGGGTGATTAATTATATATATATATATAATATATATATATATATATATATATATATAATATATTATATTATATATATATTAATATAATATATATATATATATATATATATATAATTTATATATTATAATTAATCACATATATGTATTGATCATCTATTACATATATATATATATCATTACTGTCTACATATTTATTTTGTACTAACACCTAAATTCATAGTGATATGAGAGTTTATTGTAATATGTGATCAATACAAATGTGTGATTAATTTAGGTTTAATTAACTATTATTTATTTTTGGTATGTTATACATCACTTGATATACAATATGTTATGTTTATCAATTTACCATACTATATTTATTATTTATTAATTGAAATGTTATCTTATAATTTTAATTATGATTCATTTAGAAAAAAATGAAGCTATTATGTTTTTGGATTTACTATATTATTTATCACTTGAATACAATTTATATGTTAATAAATTTGTCATGCTATGTATCATAGTAATTTTACTTTTTAATTAAAATGCTATATACTTATATATTTAATTATTGATGACATTTGGAAAAAAAAAATCCAAACATATATATATATAGAAAAACAAAAGTATCATAATATTTATTTTATTGATTACCATTAAAAAAAATTCATCCAAACTCAATCAAACATAATATAAAATGGAATTTTTTTTTTAATTATAAAATGCATAACATGTTTTTCAAACATAACGACGAACAATCGAACGATTGTTCGCGAAGATGAATTAGTGCAACGTATAGCGTTCGCGAACAACCCCTGTTCGAACTCGATCGAACATATATCGACTGTTCGCGAACAAATGTTCGCAACATTATCGAACAGTAATCGAACGCCAACGAACGTTCGTGAACTGTTCGGTTCGTTTGCAAGTCTCTCCCTCCCTCATAGCCGGCATCTTTGGGAAAATATTTGGAGTTAATTTAAATTTAACAGGAAAAATATCGACTCTCTAAGTATGTCATAGTTTAAAGAGTACCAGTCAGCTTAAAACCATTTTCCCCCTTCAGTTTGGCGAAAGAAGTAACCCACAAGCTCTAAAAGTTAAAATTTAAACCTTAACTTTTTAAATAAGTGACATTTTCTTGGCTCCTTTCTGCTAACAAAATATATATTTGACACAAGATATTAGGTAAGAAAACTAAATTATCCCTTTATAAATAAAAAAACTAAAATAAAATAAAATATTCATATGTAAGAAAATAAACTTATAACAGAATAATATTTTTATTGGTATAATTTATATTTTTGGTGAAAATATATTGGCTTGAATTATAAACTTTGTAGAATTGAGAAATTTTGTGGTTTGTAGAAACACAAAATGATAGTTTTCCTTTAATTTACAGTTTAGTCTCATTACTCAATATCTTGTATGAAAATATATTTTTTTCTTATAGAAAAGGGGGAAATTTCACTAATTTGAAAAGTTTAAGGTACAAATTGTCACTTTTTAGAACCTGTGGGTGAACAATCCAAGCCAAACTTAAAGGGAAATGATTTAAAGTCCGTCAAATTCAACTTTTTTTAACTTTTCTATGAAACCCACTAGTTTATATATATATATATTCATTTACACCCCTATAATTCACAAACATATACGAAATTTGAAAAGCATATATGTCATGAACATTTACATTTTAAATCGAACGAAGAAACTAACTTTTCCAATATGCACATTACTTTACAAATATAAATGAAAATCAATCAATTTTATTATTTATAAGAAGCACATTACACAAAACAATAAAAAGAACTTAAAATAAAAAATAAAAATAGACTCATTATTAAATAGATTGAAATGGCCACCTATGGTCGCTAGTGTAGAGTTTAATACGGTGTGGCCCAACTACATGGGCCAATGATTTACAATAATACTATATTTACAAAAAAATCTTATAAAGATTTCCATACAAAGTGAGGTGGTAAAAAATGAATAGAAGAGTGAAACAAAAAGTCAAACTCATTATATTCACTCTTCCATTCATTTGTTATCACATCACTTTGTATGAAGATCTTTATAAGATTTCTTTGTAAATATAGCATTATTCAATGATTTAACTAGAAAGCAATCACAGGTCTATATTTGATTAAATTTAACTAGATCGTAACTGACATGACCTTGCAATCGCTTAGTTGAGTCATTCAACCAATAACCTCTACTTTAGAAACTACAATCAACACCCATCTCGACTATTATTTATTACCATTTCATCATTAATTTATATGATTGTTGTATACCATCAAATGAAATGATTTATAAACATCCATCAACTAAAAGGTTGTAAGTGTTACTTTCTAAAACCTATGCATCTTACGGACTTTCTCCAAACCTAAGGGGTGTAAACACAACAAAAATGAAATTCATGGAACCTTCATTTAAGTCTGGATGCACTTTTAGTGAACTAGTATATATGTCATTGAACAACCTTTCATCTAATTCACAAATTGATTTTGAATTTTGGTGGAGTAGTTTTCATTTTAAAACAAATGGAAATATTTTCAAAGAAACTAACGACCATTAATGTATATGGGCCAAAAATCATGTTGGGCTTGAGGAGGCTCAATAGTTAATATAGACAGATTATGGCCCAAGGCTTTAGCCCAATTCTGGTTAGGCCTATGCTTAAATCCACCTTGCGAACTGCCCTCTCTATGAGTTGGGCTATCCTGCAAGCTAAGCTAAGCTGGACTAGCCACAACGGTATGTGAATAGGAAACAAAATCCTATTCTGTTTCCGCTTCTATCAAGCTCCCAGATCACATTTATAAGCTTAACCTGATAAAGGAAAGAGATCTTATCTTCTTCCTAAACTATAACTAGAATCCTAATAGGATTCGAACATCTTAGGTTCACTATATAAGCAGGGGCAAACCCCCTTATTAGGCATTCAGAAATCACCCTTAATAGCTAAGCTCTCAAAGTACTTGCTCTTAAGAACCGCCGCATTATTCTAGTATTCCTTTCTGTCCTTAGCCCTCACTAAAATACTCTTAGCCTTGCTGACTTGAGCGTCAGAGTGTCTACGACAGGCACCACACCAGTGTCTATCTAGCCTTCACGTTCCCTTTTGCTTTCTGTGCAGGTACATCCGATTGTCAGTGGCTCACTTTATACAGGATCAGTCCCTCTAAACTTGATCGTAGATTTTACTGTCTACAATTTAGTAGCCACCGTAAGGCCTTGACAATCATTTGATTCAAAATGACCTGCTCTCTCTGTTCAGCCATCATGACTGATAACACCGAAAACCCCGTGCTCAACGTTGCGGCTTAGATTGCAACTCTCACCACACTGGTGCAAAACAGCAACAAAAAGTACTAGGCCTTGGAAGCTCAGAATGCTGCCATCCGTGCGAAGAATCAAGCTCTCCAAGAAAAGGTAACCCATTTCTATTATGTGGATTGGTCTTTAAATCAGCATCATGCATCCTCCTCTCAGCTACCCATTCATCCCCGACAACTATTCTCTACCCCAGATCATGACACCCTCATGAAACCCCTTTACCACAATACGGCTCTAACCACCACAATGTCCTTAACCGAGCCGAGCCACGTTGATAGCACCCAACTCATCAACCTCTCAACCACTAGAACACGCACAAAAGCTACCCCGTTCCAACAACTAAACACCCATTTTATACTCCCACAAACATATCTAACACAGTCACTGGCGACATCACTACCCAAACCGCCCCACTCAGCTTGACCATACACGTCAATTCTAATGTCTTCCCTCAATTCCTCAACAACTTATACAACCCAATGCCAACCCCCCTTGAGCAAACACTAACCAAGTAGGTCGCCAAGATGGAAGGCATAATCCAATGCATTCCCGGCATACCCACACTCCTTAAGAAAAGCCAACCCCCCTTGAGCAAACACTAACCAAGCAGCTCGTCGAGATGGAAGCCATAATCCAATGCATTCCCGACGTACCCATACTCTTTAAGAAGAGCCAACCCCAAAGCTATGCTGATTCACCCTTCATAGACATCATAGCAGTAATGAAGATGCCACAAAAATTCACCTTCCCCAACATGAAGCACTACGATGGGACCACCGACCTGGACGACTACATAGCATCCTGTAAGCAACGAATGTTAGCTATGACCATCCCCCGAGATCTCCATGAAGCATACATGTGTAAAAGCTTTGGCTTTAGCCTCATGGGACCAGCACTCCAATGGTATACCAACCTCCCCAACAACTTCATCGAATCTTTCCTCCAGCTCATGGACACCTTTGTGGAGCAATTTGCTAGCAACAAAAAGCTAGAAAAGCTATCCGACGATCTCTACCGGATCCGCCAACACTGTAATGAGCCACTTCTAGAATACGTGGGACGTTTCAATCACAAAAAAGTCTCCATCCCTTACTACAATCAAGAGACCACGGTGGATGCCATCAAGAAGGGACTCTTCCCTTACTGTGAGCTATACAAAGAATTCACCAAGTTCAATTATACCATTATGGAAGATGTGCTGGCTTGCGCTTGGATAGAAATAAGGTGGGAGGAAGATGAGGTCCATCGAGGCAAGCTTAACAACAATGACGATTGCTACCCTCGTTGATCTGATAGATGCCATGATGCAAGACCAGTTGAGTCGTACTGAGTAAGAAGAGGCCCAGTAAATGATAATAGACACCCACTGGATTGTCCATTTGCTTAGCACATTGAAAGAGAACCCACCAACCCAACAGATACAAGATGCCCGACTACAACCTGAACATCAAGCCCGCAGAAGTAGTAGCAGTGATGAAAGAGATGGGAAAGGTTGTCAGATGGCTAGCAAATTTGCCACACTATATGTCCAATCGAGATAATACAAATTGGTATGAGTTCCACGGGGACCATGACCATGTCATCGTTGACTGTATCACTCTCCGCCTTGAAGTTGTTGAGTTGCTAAAAAGAGGTCACCTCTAAGACTTCCTAACAGATAGAGGAAAAACCACCTTAGCAAATAAAAACTGCTAAGTTACACCTCCACTGAAAGCGCCACCTACTTACGGGATCTGCAGTGTGATCTTAGGAGGATCAAAGGTAAGTGGCATGAGTTACTCCTCGGCTAAACGCCATGCAAGAGCTACAGCCTACCCTAAACACCATTCTCACCGACCATCGATGCAAAGACCAACGAATTTGACAATCGAATTCGTTGACAACAAAGCAACATCACTCCTCAACCCTCACCATGATGCGCTCGTCATCACCCTCCAGATAGCCAACATCCTCGTGAAGAGAATCCTTGTAGATCCCGACTCCTCAGCAAACATTCTGTTCCTCAACTCCTTCAAAGTCATGGGCCTGGATGAATCTAGTATCAACCACTGCTCCATTTTCCTCGTTGACTTCAGTTCAAAATAGAAGTATACAATAGGGGAGATAGCTTTACCAGTCTATGCCGAGTGAATCAATCTCCAAATCACCTTCATGATAGTGGACACCCTTTCTATGTACAATGTGATACTAGGCCAACCATGGATCCACTGTATGTGGTCCATCTCATCCACTTTCTACCAAACCATTCGGTTTCCCCACCAAGTGGGGCATTAAGGAGTTAAAATGAGATCAGAAGGCTTCTAGAAATTGCTATCAGAATGCCTTTAAGACTTAGCGGGGAACCATGTAGCAATTACAGTCCCACATGACTGGAGGAGCCGAGCGGGATGAACCAGCTATGGAGGAGCTAGATGAAGTGCAACTACACCCCAACCACACAGATCTCAAGACTCAAATAAGGGCACAACTCTAACCTAACATCCGAGAGAAGCTGGTAATGCCGTTCGACCTAAAGAATGCTGGCGCCATCTACCAATGCCTTACGAACAAGAGGTTTGCCAACTTGCTAAAGGACTCTATGAAAGTGTACATCGATGATATGTTGGTGAAGTCATTGATCGCCGAGCAGCACCTCAACCACCTTAGACAAGCTTTTGAGGTGTTGCGGAAATACAACATAAAGCTGAACTTAGCCAAATGCTTCTTTGGCGTCTCATCCGTAAAGTTTCTCTGCTACATGGTAACACAACACGGGATTGAAGCCAACCCTGATCAGATCAAGGCGATCCTAAGCATCTCATCTCTTACATGCATCAAAGAAGTTCAACGTCTCACTGGATGAATAGCCACGCTGAGCCGATTCATTTCCAAGTCGGCGGAGAAGGACCATCTCTTCTTCGCTTCCCTTAAAAAGTCAAAAGAAGTTTGAATGGACCCCAGCATGTGAAAAAGCAACGGCTTACCTAAAAAGGTACTTAACATCACCTCCTCTACTTTCTAAACCTAAAACAGAGGAACAACTCTTCACCTATTTAGTTGTGTTTGAATGTGCCATCTCCGCCGTATTGATTCGAGAAGAGAAAGGAAAACAGACACTACTCTACTACGCCAGCAGATCTCTGATCGACACTGAGACACGCTATAGCCAACTCAAGAAGCTTACACTTGCTCTTATCACCGCCACGAGGAAATTGAGACCGTACTTCCAGTGCCACCCTATCGTGGTCTTGACTTCTTACCCTCTCAAGAAGGTCCTCCACAAGCTAGATCTCTGGGTTGGTTCATCCAATGGATAGTAGAGCTGAGTGAGTTTGATATCTCCTTCTAGCCCCGCACTACTATCAAGTCACAAGTGCTAGCTGACTTCATCGCTGATTTTGCACCTAGCACTTCTATTCAAGCGGAGAGAGAGCTCATGTGCCTGACTGACAAAGGCTCATCTAAATGGATTCTCTCAGTAAATAGTTCAAGCAACATCAATGGTAGCGGTTTATGACTTGTCTTAACTTCTCCTGAGAGGGACATCATACAGCAGTCCATTCGGTGCGACTTAAAGGTGACCAACATTGAAGCCGAATATGAGGCACTAATCGCCAGTCTCTCTCTTGCTAAGGAAATGGGGGTAAAAAAACTTGAAGTTGAATTTGACTCACAACTGGCGGTGAATCAACTCCAAGGGACCTACCAAGCTCGAGATGTCAAGATGACCTCCTACCTCAATTTAGCTAAAGGGCTCCAAGCAGCATTCGAAGAGATCACCATCTCTCAAGTCCTAAGGACCGAGAACACACATGCAAATGCTCTGGCAAACCTTGGCTTGGCTCTTCAAACTCCATTACTAGCAACAATACCTTTGGTTCACCTCCAAGCTTCAACCATTGTGATCAGCTCGACCGAGGTCTCACCAGTCGAATCGAAAGAGTCTTGGATGACACCCATCCTTCACTACATCGAGAATGACAAGCTCCCCATAGATAAGAATGAGGTTGCTGGGTGAAGGCCAAGGCAGCTTGGTTCACCATCCATGATAGTTGCCTACTCAGAAGGTCTTTCTCAGGTCCATATCTTAAGTGTGTCACCTCAAAAGAAGTGAAGTCGTGCTCGTAGAGCTCCATGAAGACGAGTGTGGCAACCACGCCGGGTGACACAACCTTACCAGTCGAGCTCTTACAGTAGGCTACTATTGGCCCACAATGCGCTTCGACTCGGCTAAGTTCCCTAAGAATTGTGATAGTTGCCAACGCTTCACCCTGATATCACACCTCTCCCCGGAACAACCCAACTCCATCCTCACCCCTTGGCCATTCATGAAATGAGGGATGGACATAGTGGGTAAGCTCCTAACTGCACCAGGGTAGCGAGTCTACATGCTTGCTATTACTAACTACTTCACTAAATGGATAGAGGCCTAGGCCTTCGCCAAAATCAGAGACCGAGAAGTAAAAAGCTTCGTGTGGAAGAACATCATCTGTCGATTTGGCCTACCAAAGGAGATTGTCACAGAAAATGGCTCCTAATTTATAAGCTATGGCTTCCAAGACTTCTGCAAGATGTGGGGGATCAAGCTAAACTTCTCCACTCCACACTACCCTCAAGCGAAAGGGCAAGTTGAATTGTCCAACAAGACCATCCTCCAAACAATGAAAAGAAGGCTATAAAAAGCTAAGGGGGCTTGGGCGGATGAGCTCCTAGGAGTGCTATGGTTTTACCCCACCATGACTCGGTCTTCCACGAGAGAAACACCTTTCTCTTTGGCTTATGGTTTAGAAGCGGTAATTTGGGCAGAAGTGTCGATCCCCTCGACTTGGCTTAGCTCCAGTGCATGGATGAAGACACCAATAGACAACGACTTTGTCAGAACCTCGACATCGCTGACGAGTTAAGAGATCAAGCCCTCATCCACAAAGCTGTCTATTGGCAAAAGATGGCTCGGAACTACAACAGGAGTGTCCGAGCTAGGGTCTTCAAGGTTGGCGATTGGGTCCTACGCTAATGTTTCAAAACATAAAAGATTTAGGAGTCGACAAGCTTGGCCCCACGTCGAAAAAACCCTATAAGATCACCAAGGTTGTTGGGAAGGGAGCATATCGGTTGCAATCACCAAAAGTCAAAAATATCACCAATAGTTGGAATGCAACCCACTTAAAAGTCTATCATTTCTGACAGACTTGGCTCAGCCCCATCATCCATAGAACTTAGGAACTCCTCAAACAGGGGTCAGGGTGGACCTATCCACTCCCCCTAATTTTTTTATTTAAACTCTACCCTAGGGCAGACTTGTTTTCTCTTTATTCATTAATAAATCAAGGTATTATTCAGTATGTTTAGGTGTTTAAATGTTTGCTTACAATAAACGCCCCGAGGGTTGTAGGGAACATTCCTTTCACACATGATCAAGACCTCAAATTGTTAAGTCACAAACATTCACAACACTTAGAAAATAAACTTCAAATATCAAAAGAGGAAGCAAACAGGGTTGAGCCCTTATCATTGAAAATATAAAAGCCTCAAGGGCTGAATTCACATCTAGTGCACTCGACACTTACAAAAACTTAAATAAAAGTTGCTCAAAAAAATCCCTAAAAAATTAAACTTTGGCTCAACGTCTTCATTCGATTGGTCGCTCGACTCGACGCTGTCCTCGAGTGGCTGAGATCCTAGCACGATCACCTTCTCACGCTCTATCGACCCATCTCCATGCTCCTCTAGACGAGCCTAAAAAACAATAGGGTCCACACTGCAACCTTCTAGCTCAAGTCTAATCCCTTGCTCAGCAAGGAAGGCTTTATACTAAACTATCTCCTCGTCTGACTCCCACTCTCCTTGCTTTCTTTCCTTGAACTCCTCCATTAGTTTTGAGCGAGTCTTCAAAACCGTCTCCTCCTCAGGGAGTGCAAGAATCGCTCAACTCTTCTCCTCAGCATGAAGTCCCGACAACACTCGATTGTAATTCAGATTTGCAAAAGAAAAAACAATGAGATCTAGTACACCAACATTTATCAAAAACCAAGTTCATTTACTCGTAGTTTGTTGAAAGAATAGGATATTCTCGACTCCACTCCCCCCAAAGACTAGTTCCCCCTTTACAAAGAAGTAGTCATCCTTCCATTTTTTATCACAAGTCTTCAGCCCCGTCACTAAGTGCCTCCAGCTGTGCCATAGCATAAAGAGGTATCTACCTCTTTTTTTATCATGTTCCTTCAAATAATACGAATAAAGTAGATCCATGGCCCTAAAATCTATGCGGAGCCACACACATAGACAATCAATAGATATGAGCAACCTCCA